GCATGTTGTTTAATGGAGTTTTGCATTTTAAATGTTTCACTTTAATCATTAGAAAATAAAGTCTCCCCACCAAATAAAATTTTAAAACTATTTCCTTTGGACCTGCAAATCATTGCCCAACCCTCCATGCCTTTGTTTAGGGTCTGGGGTTTGGTGGTAGATAGTAAACCAACGGAGATGACCAAGAGTCTCTGGTAAAGCTCAGAGTGTCCACTAAAAAAGAAAAGAGAGGGAGGTGAGAGAGACCTTATAGTGTAGTAGAATAATTCAGAAACAAGTGTAAAATGTTTCCTCATAAAAGGAAAAAAGTTCAGACTAGACTTGTTGAGGCAACTGTTGAGGCAGCGGTCACCCAACAAGGGGGGAACACGTGGCCTTCCTAGTGCATGGGTGGAGAAAGCCTGTCTCCACACAAGGTCAGTGTGGTTACTCTCTATGCCTCCAGCATTCCCATCCTGGGTGCTCTGTGGGATTCTCAGGTGAGTGAACAAATTGGTAAGAAGAGTCAGCTGAAAAAAAAGCCAGTTGGTAGTTCAATTGGCAGAGGAGCCCAATGTGGCTTTTCAAAGAATAGGCACAAGTCGTCTGCTTTAGTAAAACATCCAAATACTTTATTTCACAGAATAAAATGCATTTTGTAGCTTTAAAGGATAAGTTCACCTTTTAGATAAAAATAATAAACCTACATTTTTTTGCAGGTAAAAAAAAATGTGCATTTATTATTTTTGTCTATAGGAGCCTGGAAAGCATTGCACCAGTGACCAGTAGACCACTGATGCCATGCAGGACTCCTGCAGACCTGTCAGAATATCTGCTTGCCATACTAGATGTATGAGCAATATACTGACAGGAAGAATCAATGAACTACCACGGTGCTCCACTGAATACTACAAGGCCACAGCCGCTAAGACTGTCAGAACTTGTAGGCACTCATTCACAGAGATCTGGGGCGGGGCTAATTGCATCACTTCTGGTCTACATGCGGGTGAATGAAGAGCGCAACAGCGTACATATTGTTTTAACCCCCAGGACGGTATTCCCGACTGTAGCTCAGGGTAACTTTCAGTACCAAAAGCGGTGACCCCGATCTACACTCGGGAATACCCTGCAGCATTGCTCAGGGATTCCCTCCAGCACTTACCTTGTACTGCGCTCCCGCAATGTCCCCCCTGCAGCATCTAATCTCATCCAGCCAATGCCGGCATCCATCTTCCGGGTTCCGTTCCCTGCGACATCGGGACGTACGGGGGACGGAACGGCGGGAAATTCAAAAATGTAAAAATGTGCCATTCACTCAATACACTAAAATCACATAGTAAAACATTCCTGTATCAAACCATTTCACATACATTTTGTCCCGAGTGCTTTGTCCTGTGCCCTGCCTACATTTTTACTGTTCTTTCTGCCTGGAAACTGAGAAACGTCCATGGCGTCCAAAAAGCGTCCCTTTAGGTCAAAAGCGGTTTTAGACCAGCTAGAGAACAGCGATAGTAAATCAGAACCACTTGCAGAATTGAGTGATAATGATTTGTGGGGAAATTCATCATCAGACACTGAAAAATATTCTGCGACTTGGCGCTATATTTCAAACTTCAGTGTTTTTGGTTTGATTATATTATTGAATTGAATTTATTATTATTATATTATTATTTTTTATGATTATTTATTAAATTATAATTTATGATTTCGTGTTTCAAATTTGATCATACCCGGGATGTTTACTAGACTCTTGTTCGGACAGATTTCAGTGAGTTATTACTTAGAATTACAAAAAAAGTAATAAAACAGTTAAAAAATAATAATAAAACATTTAAAAAAAAAAAATTTCTTTCACACTGTCCTTAGTCAGTGTCCTTGATCACTGCCATGCCAGTTATATGATGACGCTGTACTGCACTGGTGACAGTATGTAAAAATAAAAATAGTGAAAATAATTTTTTTTATTTTTTTCATTTTCTGAAAAATTATGACAAAAAAAATACAACTTCAAAAAACTCGCCATGCCTCTTATGAAGTACGTCAGACTGTCTACTTTGCAAAAAGGGGTCATTTGGGGGATATCTGTACTGTTCTGACATTCTTGGACCTCAAGAAATTAGATTGGCTGTCAGTACTTCAGGATTGATCAATATTCAGATCTATACCATAGATTGTGAACTCTATAACTTTCCTACAAACTATATAATACATCCTAATTTGGGTTATTTTCACCAAAGACATGTAGCAGAATACATCTCGGCCTAAATTTATAAAGAACAACTATTTATTTGCAAACTTTTATAACAGAAACAAAGAAAAACGTGTTTTTTTTTTCACAATTTTCGGTCTTTTTTTGTTAATTTAGCAAAAAATAAAAACCCCGTGTGACGGGAGCGACTTTTGGGGGTGGGGGGACCCCTGTATCATCTCCCCAAATCATTATGTTTAACCCACCCTGTGCCTGTTTAAGGGTACAGGGTGTACATGTGAATGTCCCAGTATTGTGCATTTGTGTGTTGTCCTTTGTCTAGGCCACATGGCTGTCCATTGTCTGTTTGCCATGTGCTACCCCCCATTGTGCTGTGCCTTCCTGTCCAGCCAACTATTATGGGATGTATTGTATTGGTGTGGGGGTTGGTCAATGTCCTTTGCCATGTGTTTCATCCCATTGTTCTGTGTCTTGGTGGGATGGGGAGGGGTGATGAGGTGTTTCCTGCAGCCTCCCACTGATGGGGCGAGCTGATGATGTGTTTCCTGTCCCTGGTTGTCTTTCCCCACCCTCTGTATAAAACATGTTGTTTGTGTACAATAAACGTTGTTGGCTTCCTGTATTAAGAAGAGCTGGGTGCTGTCTGTTTCCTGAGGGATTTCAAGGGGGTGTGGTCCGTGGATGGTGTTCGGACAGGGGAAGCTGTGGTATAACGGAAAAACTCAGTGCGGTCTGGGTTCCGGTTACGTTACACCCTGGCAGTGATTAAATACCAAAAGAAAGCTCTAGTTGTGTGTACATGCTCCTACTTATCATGTGTGAGGACTTTTCCCTAATCCAACCAAAACCACCAGGTCAGTCTTTGTTCGTGGTTTTTAACCACAGTCATGCCTTTGTACATTGAGCAGTTCTTGGATGCTGCATTCATGTGGTAAAGGCTAACTGCACCATTGAGACCATCTTACATTTGATACTCATTTTAGGGTGTAGCGGATGTAACGTGATGCCAATCAGATCACCCAACCACAAAATATACCCACTCTGACAGCATGCCGGGGGGGAATGAATGAACTCTAAATCACGTCTTCCACCATGGACGATGGATTTGAAATTCTCAATGGAACACAAGTGCGGTGATCACCACTTTAGTAGTCCATTGACCTCCAGCTTAACAGCTGAAAGTCCATATCTCGGTAAAGACAGAGCTGGGGGATCAGTCTGCAGGAGCCTTGCACTGCACTTGAGATCCACTAATTGTGGCTGCAAAACTTTGCAAGCTCATATGCAAAAAATTATAAATGCATTTTTTTTGTTGCAAGCCTATGTGTATTTATTATTTTCTTGCAAAAGGTGGACCTAACCTTGAACATGTGTACTGTTAAGGCAGCCCATTCATTCTGAAATTCACACTATCATTCTTCGTGACTTCAACATCCCTGTTAATCTTAACACTCCTGCTACATCTAAATGTCTGAGTCTACCACTTCTTTTGACCTAAAACAATGGACGCATGCTTCTACTCACTCCAATGGTAACTGTCTCGACCTTGTATTCTCCTACCTATGCACTCCTCCTTGCAACCTCACCAACTTTCCTCTTCCTCTCTCTGATCACTCCCTTATTAGCTTCACTCTCTGTGGCATCTTCCTTCTCTGTCTTCCAACTACCAAACAGTTACCCGTAGAAACCTTCGTTATCTTAACCCTTCTCTTCTTTTTTACAGCAAAATATTGTCTCTATGACAAAATCTCAGCCCTATCCTGCCCCAACCTGGCCACTTCTGTCTACAATAGTTCACTGTCATCCACCCTGGACACTTTGGCCCCCCAGACACACGAATTAGGCCCCGACCGTTACAGCCCTGGCAAACAGACAATACCAGATGCCTCAAAAAACGTAACCGTGCTCTGGAGCATTTATGATGTAAGACTAGGACCCAGCAAGACTTCGACCAATAAAAAATCTGCCCTTCAAAAATACAATTCTTGTCTCCACACTGCCAAACAGACCTATTTTATCACTCTTATTAACACCCTCTCACACAATCCCCATCAACTCTATTATACTTTTAACTCTCTACTTCGTCCTTCTCTACCTCCACCCACTAACTCACTCACTGCCCAGAAGATCGTTAATCACTTAAAAAAAAATAAAATTGATACAATTCGTGACGACATCTCCACTGTACAGTTAAAACCCCTCACCCTACACTCCTTGTCCACCTGCACAATCTATACTTCCCTTGTTTAACCCAGGTACTAAAGAGGAAGTTGGTAAAGTGTTTTCTAAAGCCCCCCTAACCACCTACCCCCTGGACCCTGTTCCCTCGCAAATATTATGGTCACCCTCTGGCTCTATCCTTCATTCTTTAACTCATATCTTCCATCTCTCCCTTTCTATTGGCATCTTCTCCAACTCTCTAAAACATGCGCTAGTCAACCCCATACTTAAAAGAGCCACACTGGACCCCGCCAATCTTAGCAATCTAAGACCCATCTCCTTACTCCCTTTTTACCTCCAAACTCCTTGAACGTCTAGTCTACAACTGGCTGAGCTGCCACCTTATTGAGAATAATGTTCTCGATTCCCTTCTGTCTGGATTTTTCCCACAACACACCACAGAAACTGCTCTCCTAAAACTCACAAACTTACTTACTAACCGCTAAAACCAATGGTCACTATTCCATTCTCTTGCTTTTGGACCTCTCCTCTGCCTTTGACACAGTTGACCACCCCCTCCTCAAAAAAAACTCTATTTACTTGGTCTCCATGACTGTACTCTCCATTGGTTTGAATCTTACCTATCTCACTGCACCTTCAGTGTCACTTACAACTCTACTTCCTCCTCTCCTACTCCTCTTACTGTCGGGGTCCCCCAAGGTTCTGTCCTTGGACCTCTCCTATTCTCGATTTACACTTCTTCCTTGGGTCAGCTGATAGCTTCCCATGGTTTCCAATACCATTTCTATGCTGATGACACACAAACTTTATCTCTCTACTCCTCAGCTCACCCCATCAGTTTCCTCATATATCACCAATTTACTAGCAGACATATCAGACTGGATGTCACACCACTTCCTAAAACTCAATCTATCCAAAACTGAGCTCATAATATTTTTCCCCCCTACGTGCCTCTTCCCCTGATTTCTCTCAGTCAGGATCAATAGCACCACTATCAACCCATCCCTGCATGCCAGGGTACTAGGGGTAACCCTGGATTCTGAACTATCCTTTCAGACCCACATCCAATCCCTGTCCAAATCATGCCACCTCAACCTCCACAATATCTCCAGAATATGCCCCTTTTTAACCAATGATACCACAAAGCTCCTAATTCACTCCCTGGTTATCTCTCGCCTCGACTACTGCAACTCCCTCCTCATCAGCTTACCTTTACATAGGCTATCCCCCCTCCAGTCCATCATGAATACTGCTGCCAGGCTCATCCACCTTACCAACCATTCAGTGTCTGCTACCCCTCTCTGCCAATACCTCCACTGGCTTCCACTTGCCCAACAAATAAAATTCAAAATACTAACAACCACTTACAAAGTCATCCACATCTCTGCCCCCAGCTACATTACCAACCTGGTCTCAAAATATCAACCAAACCACTCTCTTCGATCCTCCCAAGACCTTCTTCTCTAATACCTGTATCACCTCCTCCCATGCTCGCCTCCAGAACTTCTCCCGAGCTTCTTCCATCCTATGGAACTCCCTACCCCAATCTGTCTGGCTGTCTCCTAATCTATATACCTTTAGACGATCCCTGAAAACCTTTCTCTTAAAGAAGCCCTCCCTGCTTCTACCTATTATTTCTGCCATTTTTGGTCCTCCATCAGCTACCATTTTTTTGCATGGAAATATTATTTTTTTTATTGTAGGCTGTACCCTTTTTTAGGAAAAACTCTAACTGAAATCTGTTTCCGTACCAAAAGAGTCTAGTAAACATCCCGGGTATTTTGTAAATTTGCGAAACACAAAAACTGTTGGCGCTAAATAAATCCTGTATATAATAATAATAATTGTATTTATTAATAAAAATGCAAAAGTTGGACCTAATAATGAACAAAAAATGTTAAGGCAGAGCCCATTCAATTTTGAACGGACAGAAAAATGGACATGCAGCCTTTTTCCTGATGTAGATAATCATAATGCAGA